TAATTTTAGGATTCCCTAACCCAAACGAAATAGACAAACCCACAGAACCCCTATAGGTTCACTAGGTATTTATGTAAAATTGAAATAGATAGAATTCGTGCAGGAGAGCCATAATAATAGTTTATAGGTTACAGGAAAACTAGGGTAACAAATTTTTACATGACATTATTTTTTTTAGGTCGGATTGCAGACGTCTACACAAAAGGCGATCTCGATGTCCACAGCAACAGATTCAACAGAGGCAAGCAGCAAACCTGCGCGAGCGCCGCCGCATGCAATCTATCAATGACGCATTCGAAGGTCTTCGCGCTCACATCCCGACGTTGCCATATGAAAAGAGATTATCTAAAGTGGATACCCTGAAATTGGCTATTGGATATATCAGCTTTTTAGGAGAATTGGTGAGAAAGGCTTCTTTTTAAATAGATGGGGACAACAAATGCCACGTGATACGGTATTAATAAAGTCAAAGTTTTAATTTTCTTATTCAAATAAACTCAATTTTTCCCATAATATGACACAAGATATAAAAAAAAATCTCTAACAAGTAGCATCTTAATTATTGTACAAAAAATATGTATATTACTTTATGAAAGTATTAAACAATAAAATCACATATACCCAAAAGGTTTCATACCTTTTGGGTATATGTGATTTTATAGTGTGTTAATAAATACGTAACTAACAACAATAATATTCTACGAACAACCGTCGTAACTCGTAGCATAGCCGTAGTAAGATAGCAAGCTCGTAGTTACAATTGCTACGAAGATAAAATCAAAAGAGCACATGTAGCATGGCATATCGAAGGAGGTATTGCCTACCTACTTCCTATCTTTCTCGCGTTCAAAGATGGTGTTGGTATGAGCAGAACAAACTCGAGAAATAATGTATAATATACGAGTAGCATGCTTAATCGTGGCTCTTACTTTATAATGTCAAGAGTAGAAGAAGTCTATCGTCGCCGTGATCTACAGCCGTGATCACTTTGTTCTTTGCCAGAGTCGAATCCGGGCCGTCCTGTTACAAAGCTGCTGTCTCCCGGTGTTATAAATAATATCCGATACTTAAGCAAACAAGAAACTTAGTAAAAATATATGATATAGCTTCTTGCGGGGGAGAGAATGTATCACCTATTGTGAACATGATTCCATTTCTCTTTCTATAGACCATTTACATTTACACTCTTTTTTGCGTAATACTCGTATTTAGACGATATTTAGTTTCATTTTACTACTTTGGAATGAAACGAAATGACCATAACATCGTTAAGATGTCGCATTATATAGCTACAGAAGTCAGACGGTCGCTTTGTAGTAACCCACGCTAGTGTTGTACTCGTGTAAATGGAGACAAATCTTCAAGCCAGTCCAATGAAATAGAACTGTTTCTTCTTTTACTGGATTGGCTTACTAGATTGTCTCGGCTACTGGCCTCATGTAAATTGTACATAAATTTACTGTTTTAAAAGGTTCGCAATGATAGAGGAGCATCAGATTCAATGTTGACGGGTATGAACAATATGCAGAACAAGGAAGAGCAGAAGAAAATTATCGTTAGAGGTAAGAAACTTCTATTGTTACAGTTATTTTGGTATGTTTGATAACAAATAAGTGTCGGAGTGAGTTTAAAGGAGATGAGTACACCAAACATCATTCACTTTCAATTCGTTTTACACAAGTGAATACGTCAAAATAATAAGTTATTTAAAATGAGAAAATGATATCATATTTATAAGGGCTTTATGACACTCAAAAAGTGATAATATAAAGTTTTATTTTATCAAATATTGTATTGATATTAATATTATATTGATATTCGAGTCACGAGCCAATGATTTGATTGAGAACTTTTACGAGTACAATAATCATAATGACTTGACAAATTAATAATTAAAAATATTTTTAATAATTAAAAATATCGTTGGGAGACGTTGATTTTACATAGTTTTTCTTTACTGTTATCTTTCATAAATCGACTATAATTTATGAAAGAAAATAGTAAAGAACGATATAAAATAAAATAGTATTTTAACTAATATAATACTTTCTAATAGTTTTCATTAGTGTCTCTGCTAAAAAGTTCTCAAAATTAATTTACATGTAATTGTTTTAGGCAGTTAGGAACATTTTGGACCTAACTTGCTAATTTCCGTCATGAGCTGAAGTGTATTCCGTGTATAATATGATGCGCTCGGTGCCAGGCCGTGACCGCGACCCTATCAAGTGTTTACGCACCTTTCACTAATCGATGTCGGGCCCGTAACATGGGGTCATTTGGACACGATGATTTCGATTACTTTTAATGGGGTTTCGTCGTACAATTGAGTATTGTTCTCTTTTAGAATGAAACTTATGATAAAAAAGAACATTTCCATTTCAATTCAACCAAGAAAAATATTTGCACGATATGGTTATGTACCTTATTAGGTACTTCTTGGCACTATGGTAATACTTGACACTATGGACAAACCTTAATGGTTTTATAGTGTCATATAAACAATTAATTAACAATTAATTGTATTGCTAAATAAATAAATAAAAAGATAGGCAATAAAACACGTACAGGAACAAAATGTTATTACAAAAATATTTAAACGCATATATGATATCAAAACTTAAATGCTTAAAATTTCGTTTCTCCTTCTTCTCTTCTTCTTTTATTTATGGCTCATCTGCGCATTTCGCACAATTCTGCCAATGTCAAGTGAATAAATTACTTATATACATGTAAAATTAAATGATTTTTAAATTTCTGCCACCTACGAGAAGCTAGCATCATATACGGATGGTATAGACAATTTTTTTTTTGAGATAGAAAACTATTTTTTATTAAGAGATATAATTTGTTAATCGCGAAATTCTACACCACTGAACGCATGCAATGTTGCATGAGAACCCACCGCTGATAGATCAATGTATCGGTAGCATACGCTGTGGAGAAGCTAGTTTTAGCTTGCGGTACAGTAGGCATGTGTTACCTTCACAGGAAAACTTATTTCATATGAACGGAAAGTGCACTGGTACACGGCTGTCGAAAGAACAAAATGATACAAAAAAAATCGATCAGCAGTTAGCGGAAAATTCGGTAAGCATACATCGCTGTCGAACATTTAACCTCCTCCTTTTCGGTTTCGAAGTAATTAATCCAAGATTATTTATATGTCATGTTGTATATAGAACACAATAGGTTATTTTATTGGTTATAGTTATTAGTTTGATGATGGCATGCAAAATTTTGAATCGAATCTAATATCTCCTCACGCCCCCGCCTGGGAGCCACGTTGCGTGACGCGTCACATTACGGCGCATCTCACGTTTGGTCCAGGTGACGTTCCCACGAGCGGAACAACTCCCGTGCAACATCAACGTCACACAACCGAAACAATTTGCGTCATTTAATTATATTTGAACACTCGCAAATGAAGCGTTGTGGGAAAGTTTGGGTTCATCGATAGCAATTTTAAATTAATTTAATTTGTAAAAAAAAGAAAATGAAGCGGTTTTTCAATGTGCATGCTACAGTTTGATTTAATTGATTTAATATCTAATTGCGCAGAAAAATGTTCAAAGAGCGTTATACTCTTTCTACGTGGGCGAAATCGCGAGCAAACAGCTCATGTTCCGAAACAACTTATACTCGTATCAACGATTCTTTTAAATTCAAAACTCCCTCACGAATAATAATTATTAAGATAGGTTCGAAAATATTCGTTTGCATGCTAATTTAAGAATAAAACACTTACTTACATTTTAAGTGTAAATTAATATCCTTTGATTACTATCCCATTTATGTTCTCAATAATGCAATACGCAGATCACACTTGTGCTCACAAGTGCGCTAAAAGTGTAAACATGGGGTAGCGTAAGTAATTCGTATTTACGAATCACACCGTAGCAAATTGAGACATCGCCCCTCATAAACCGAGAGGAGGAGTGTATTTAAAATCGATTATGTTCTTTTGTCGTCAAATATTATAAAAATTGAGTGTGTAGATTTAGTTTTAGTTTATTTAGTTTATAACTTTCCATATATTAACTTTGATTCCAAAAGTTAGGAGGTATACTATTACTGATAAAGTTTAGACGTAGTATTACCTTTTTCATCCATAAGGAAAACATGGATCCGTAGTGTCACTCGAATAATTGAGCAAAGAGTTATCAGATTTTTTTAATACATGTTTTTTGATTTTTTTAATAAAAAAATACTCTACTCTCTAAAGCTACTAACACAAATGTATGTATTATTATTATGGTTGTGTCGACAGATTACAACAAAAATTGAAAAATTCTATAAAAGCGGCTTTATTCATACATTAATAAATAAGTAACACTTACTCTTAAATTAAGTTTTAGTACGTCTATAGTGAATAAAGAATAAATGAGATTAAAACCTATAGAAATTTTAAAGGTAAATGAGAAGGTATTGAAAGCAAAGTATTTATTATTGGTTTCCTGCACAATGTGAAAAATCTCTTATTTTATTTGTACAAACAACCTCCAGTTGCGGCAATGGACACACAACACGTGTAGAGTTAATTATTTCCCTATCGCAGTAACAACACTATTATCACAACAATGGCGGGGCGATAAAAAACCCTACATTATTCGAGTGCGCCATCTAATCTCTTTTTCAATTAATAAAAAACACCTTATCGAAATGTAATGTTGGATTTACATAAGGATTAAACGCACGTGCGTGCTCTCAAGCTTTAAAAAGCGTTCATTTTAACAGTATTTTACCAATTTGATGCTTTTTACAATAACTGGCAATGTATATGGTATTTACATTACGCAGAGGTTTTATTAAAACTTAGAAAAAATCAAAAAACAATATTACCTACATACTATTTCAATATATTTTGACTTTTTGAATTGACATTTAAGTCAACTTTATTTTGTTATATTTATTTATTTTCACATATATTATTAGTTAACCTACTTTGATATTTATTCTTATTATTGACCTTTATTTAGAACATTCGATTATTTGGTTTTAAAATGCCTATTAAAATTCTTCTTGCACGGCAAATATTTGATGCTACTGGCGTCCCCACAGTTGAGGTGGACATGGTGACAGAACTGGGCTTGTTCCGAGTAGGAGTACCTTCTACCGATACCAAGAAAATCGCCGAAGATATACAACTTCGTGACAATAACCCCGCCGAATACCACGGTATGGGGGTAACGAATGCTGTCAAAAACATCAACACCATCATCGCTCCTGAACTCATCAAACAAAATCTTGAGGTCACCATGCAAAAAGAGATAGATCAATTCTTAATCTCTCTCGACGGGACAGAGAACAAATCAAGGTTGGGCGCTAATGCTATTATGTGCGTTTCTCTAGTTGTGGCAAAAGCAGGTGCAGCGAAAAAAGGCGTGCCTCTATACAGACACATTTCAGACATGGCTGAAATCACAACCATTATATTACCAGTTCCACATTTTACCATATTGACTGGAGGTATTCTAGCTTCCAACGGTTTGCCATTCCAGGAATACTGTATAATGCCGACAGGAGCTTCATCATTCGCTGAGGCTATGAAAATGGGCGTTGAAATTTATCGTTACGTCAAGAATGTTATCAGTAGCAAATATCCAGCTGAATCTTTATATGTTAGTGACAGCGGTGGCTTTGCAATACCTTTGGAAAGCCATCGAGATGCTTTGCTGTTTCTAACCGACGCTATTAAGCAATGTGGGTATAGTAACAAGGCGGAGATAGCTATCAATGCAGCTGCGAGTGATTTTTATAAAGACGGTGCTTACGACTTGGAATTTAAAAATCCTAATTCCAATCCTCAAGATTATATGTCGTCGGATAAACTAGCTGAGGTGTATTTAGACAATATGAAAGAATTTCCGGTCTGTTCTGTTCAAGATGGGTTTGACTTTGACGATTGGGCAGCGTGGTCTAACTTGGCGGCTCGTACAAACGGGCAGTTATTCGGTAATGATTTAACGCAGACGAATTTGAGGAGGGTTGGGTTGGCCGTTGAAAAGAAAGCTGGTAACACTCTTGGTTTAAGGCTGAACCAGAGCGGAACATTAACTGAAGTGATAGAGGCGTTCAAATTGATGAAAGCAAACGGTTTCGGAATTGTTGTCGTGGATCGTTGGGGTGATACTGAGGATCTATTTTTAGCTGATTTAGTGGTAGGTCTATCGGCTGGACAACTAAAATGTGGAGCACCTGCACGCTGTGAACGTATAGGAAAGTATAACCAGGTGCTACGCATTGAAGAGGAATTAGGGGCTCTGTCTAAGTACGCTGGGAAAAACTATCGCGGCCAACAATAAATAAATTTTATTAAAAATATTTGCACCAATAAACTATTTTGGATGATATATATATTTCATTTTATTTTTATTTTACTACTAGCGAAATAATTGTGTCTTCTTAGACCGTTGGCATTCTGTTTTAAACAGTATATTAAAATAATAATAATATTTGTTAGGCACAAAATGCAAACCTAACATAATTTTGTTACGTCGTGACTATCTATCGAATTAGCATCTTCTGCTGAACTTCATTTATATATAACCTTTCATTCAATTGTATAATGCAGCTGTTTATTTCCTTATATCAAAAATAAATACATGGAAGCTAATAAACATTTGTACGTAAATTTTTGTACAAAAGTATTTTTCAATCAATAATAGACTATTGCGTTACACCTAATACAAGATTCATGTGACGAGGGTGAAAACGGTAACAAACGGACTAATGGCCGGATGTACTCATTATGTCCAATATGACATTCACTAAACTGTTATTAATCCACTTGTCGGAAGTTTATAACAGTTGTGGTGTACTTAGTACTTGCTATGAAATTTATTTTTGAAAATGGCAAAAAAATAAAGTGCAAACTAGGAGACTTTTCGATGATTTAATGTTTCATAACATATTTATTCTAAACATTATCTGTTTATTTGCTATAGGTATATGCAAGAAAATTTTATATTCTTATTTCTTGGGTATATGTAGTGGCAATCTGTAATTATAACAGCTGCATTGTGTGTCTGCTGTAAGATTAAATATTAAATTAGTGTAGTGTATATTTTGTTGGTTGTTCATAAATAAAAAATGTATTAAAGATAGTACAATGTTCTACTTAGACTAATGTTACATATAATTTTTCCTTTTTTTAGTTTATTTTACTGAAACTATGTTGTTCTATTAAGGTTTAATGACGTCAAATTTGTATCGGTAATGTGGCTTTTAAACTTATGACAATTTTTATGTACTTTTGTGAAACTGGCTGATAAGCGTTAAAGAATATGGCTGATAGGATATAATATAAGAATATATAAAATGGCTTAAATAAGGAACGAATATAAAAGCCTCGTTCAACTATTGATTTATTAACCAGTTCTTTTCAAGTAAATTCTAACCTATGGCACCCGCGTATGATGTGAAAAAGTGTTTAAAATTTGTTCAGTAGTTCAGGAGCCTATTCAATGCAATAAAAACAATCAAATTTAATTGAATCTTTAAAACATTAGTACAGATGTAGGTATAGATAAAAATTAAGTATACTTATCATAATTATGCATTAAAATATACTGCGATATACAGGTCAACCCCATGAACGGTATCGGGGGGTCGCGGCGACCATAACTGCGTGCACGTGTTCAAACCCCAGGGCGTGCGCCCCAAAAATAACACCCCGGCATTATACCACATTCGCGAATAGTTTAGTTAGATAGCCCACAATGCATGCTACTCACAAATAATTGCAGATAAATAAACCTTAAGTTCAAACTTATTCAGGGGTCATTGTGCGCGAGTAAAACCCGATGACAGATTATTAGCCTTAGCCTTTTTCGGTAAATAAAGCTTTGCACATTTAATATCTATTATTAATTTGCAACAATCGTTAGATATTTATAATAGATACTTACTATTTTGTTAGAATTTTTAATAGTTTATAGTAAAGAGACTATTTAGTACCTAATCGATATATTTACTACTAATATGACACTGCGAAGTGTCAGGCATAATCTCGCTCTTTTCATACAATTAACGAACATAGATTAGACTCTAATAGAAAGGTAAACACGAAACGGTTTGCACTATGCGTTTTTTCTGTGATTACCACAACGCGTCGTGACCGTTTCCGTTAGCATAACACGAATATAAAATTTGCAACATGGACATTTTACTGTGATCATACGTTGTTAACAACTTTTTCGTTCAGTGAGCGTTTTCGATCTTTGAACGTAACATATACAATAAACTAGTTCTAACGCCACAGGGTTACATTACATTACAAACTTCTTATTGCCATCATCAGTTCCATTTTCAAATTCTTGATTATTATCTATTACCAAAATTTTTGTCAAGATAATTCAAACAAACCCAAATTTGATGGGGTTGCTTCGTTTAATTACATAGGTCCTATGGGTATCTGCGAACCCCATCATCAGCTCAGCTTCGTTACATATCAACATTCAATTGCCATCTAAGTTACATAAGCATGCAAAATGGCAACTCGATCGAAAAACAGGAAGTTGGTAAAATTGCAAGTTTTAACCCACCCTAACAATACAAACTTGTAGAAAGGTCATGTATGTACGTACTTAAGTTAATGACTTAATAATATGTTTATAGATGACATAATTTACCTATATAGGCTGTTATTTTCTTTACTAGTTGGGTACAGTTGGGTACACGTCAAGTTATACAAATCTTTCAAACTTTTCCAATTGATTTGAAACCTTAACTCCTTGGGGGTAGAATATAAAATCACCTTTAGCTCGGCATGCCTTTAGCCTGGTGTGTATACTTGAATTACAAGTAATAACTCCTTTGCTTTGACATATAGGGCAAGTGATTGATTGACAAATGAGTTACAAGCTACGATACGATAATCGTCTAAGTTTTCTTTCTATTTGACTTTATTCTGTGCCATTATTAGCCTTAACCATACAATTAAACGTCAATTATAATAATTAATGTGAATACATGTGGTATCTGCTACATATTTAGATTATGGCGCTGTAGGCATCACTTTTAGTCTGCGATGCAGAACTTAAGCAACTTTCGTAAGGAGCGGTCATAGGATGGGTGTCCGAAAAAAAAAATTATCTTGACCTCCTTCGTGCTTTGGAATCCACGTTAACTAGTTGTTCCTGGTTGCATCTACAGTCATTAAAACCCACCAATCCGCAATGGGCCTGCGCGGTGGGTCATAGCTTATTTTCCCTATATTCGATTCCATAGGGAAGACCTATGCTCCAGTAGTGAGAATTAAATGTAATTTTAGAAGTAGAAATTTTCCGTGATTAACTCAATAGAAACATGATGTACTTACATACTTATGTTATTTACAAAAAAAAAAAAAAAATTATTAGTTTTCTACCAAACAAATAGAAAACATACACGATTTTGGTGTACGCGTCCTCTTAAGAAAATACGCCTGATTAGGTAATTCAATAGATTGTTTATTACCAAAGTTGCTATGATAGAAAGCATCGACAATGTGACTAGTCGGCAGGGCACATAAAACCTATGATTATATTCCCCTATCTCGAATACTTAATTGAGTTGACAAAAAGCACAGACAAATTATTATCAACATACCGATAGTTTATTATATGTTAGAGTAGCTGTTTTAGATCTTAACATGTGTCATCCGCATTTGCTGTAGTCCCCGCTTTTCGATTGAAGTTTTGCACTCATATTACTTAGATAACAATGCAACGTTAATGTAGAATGAAGTTAATCTGATAATGGAACTGGAAGGAAGCCATTAGACCTATGTAATTAAACGAAGCAACGCCGTCGAAGTTGTTAATGCGAGAACTATGCAATGGAGCCGATCTGATGATGTGGCACTGGAAGGTAGCTATGTGAGTCCTGTAATAAAAAAAGCTGTTTATCTTGTTGATGGAACTGGAAGATTCATTCGAACTTTGCAATTAAGTAACGCTTAATCGATATCCTTCATGCTGAGGGTCGTGATATCCATGTGGCTCTTCTTAGAACTATATTCCACCAGCTGTGTCTGGCTTCTGGGATGTGAGGAAAGTGAAAGATAATACTTATAACAAAAAAAAAATAAAGAGTATGTAATTTAAATAAGCTATATCTTATTACATATGAAAGTACTTTTAGTTATTTTTAATATATTCATTAAACAGCAAATAGACGATAATCCTCGTCGGTGAATCGAGATTATATTACCTATTTGTATGATGTTAGGTCTTTACGAAAAATATAGTAACACATTATTGGAATACACAGTAAAAATTATACTGATTTAAATAATAGAAAAATAATGAAAATAAATAAAAGAAAATATTCTTTAAAATAGAGTTGCAAAATCTGCGTCATCTCAGATCATTAGAACTACAAAATCCATTTGTTGTTACAGGAAACAACTTCCAAGCCCACTCGTTGTCTTGGTCAAGACGTGGCGAACGACCGCCTGGCAGCACTCTCCACGCAAAGATATGGATACCCGAAGACCCGAGACTTTTTAATAATACCAACAATATCATGGAGAAGGAGGAGTTGAGATAAAAATCACAAATATCTAATAGATAACATACTTAGTTATATGCTTAATAATCTACTTTTGTAATTCATCAATAGTCCATATTTTAACTGTCGATCTCTAATTTCCGATCTCTACCTACGTAGCCTAGATTGATCAGTATATTGTATTTAAAGGTAACGTCTTAAATTTATACATTCAATTTTCCTGCGCAATGAAATGAAATTAAGTAAATTGAATCATAGTACGCGTACATACTTATGAATAAAACTCATTAAATAGATAAATCTGTGGATGCAACGAATTATCAACTAATCTAGATTAAACGACTGAAATTGATTTGAATCAAGTACTGAAATTTGTGAGTGTATATGTCTCAGTTATCGGACTAAATCAGCCGTTTAATTCTATGGCTATTATCGGTTAGTCGTATAGTTGAACAAAGCGTCAGTGATGTTGGATGACGCTTAATGAATAAAAATAAATAAGAAATTATTGTTGTTGATTTTGTCTATTTTAAATTGAGTTTACGATGTGACTGTAATGAAATAGATAAGCAATAACCAAGAAATATAAAAAAAAAGAAACTAAAGTATGTACAAGATCGATTCAACGGCTACTTACTTAATTAACGCACGATCGCACTGTGTTACTACTGTGCAATAATAAAAAAGGATTGTATTTTTAAATGAAAATCATACTTTGTTTTTTGAAATAGTAAATATAAACAAAACGAAACAAGCACTGCAACAATAGATAAAAAATATCATTAAAACATGCTACGGTATTTTAGTCAGTCATAAAGTTGAACATTTTAAATAATAGATAAAACTATAAAAAATGGTCTGTTACTTTAATGACGTCCTTCAATGAGACTTAGCTATTCAAATTGATAGTAATTCAACCAGTTGGCTATGACATCTATATTAATAGAAGACGATGACATACTTGTAAATAAAAGTGTAAGGTAATATGTATATAGCACAATATATTTTTCCATTGTTGTTACTAATTTAC